GGGTGCTCAAAGAATAAAGTACCCTACTTAAATCGAATTGGCTGCAATTTGAAATTTTGAGTCTTCCTACCAAAACGTATGAATAGTGGTCCAATTTTAAAGTTAACCCCCATATAACATTACCCCGCATTTAAATATTTCCGGGAGTTTTTTACCTATTTTTCATACTAAATATTACAACATTGATTCATCAGCAGGTATAGTCTATCTTTATGGAACCTCGTGCTTGTTCATGTTTCTTCTTAGTCACCATTCAAAGGGCGCGCGTCATTTTTGTTATGTTCAAGACCCAATCCAATGTGAGTGACTATAGTTTTGTATTTCATTTCCACCTGACTGCAATTTACAATGAAAAAGGCTTCATATGGAAGTTTCGATAGACTTTATGTACTTTGGAGGGTATAAAGTTTTTGCCGGCCGAACTTTAATCCGTTGTGGAATTACCTATCTGGTAGTAAATTACAGTAAATGATAATGCTACTTTAAAGAATTAAAATAAATTAATTCATCTGAGAAAAGAAAAAATATATACACATACAAGTTTTTCAGTGCTTAAATCTCGTACCTGTCTTAATTTGCACGTAAGTGAAATCACTATATAAAAATAGGCCAATGTAATATTTTCTAGAATGCGCTATCTAACGCGAACTCTAAGTATCTACTAGTGAAACACAATGACGATTTAACGCACATTTATTCATTAAAAACAAAAGTCCCTGTGTGGGGTTTCCGACGATGAGTAAAAAAAAGACTGTTTCTTAATTTGATATTCCCTGCGTAGGTAAATGCAAACATTTTATGCAATGAGAAAGAAAACAGCAAATATTCTGAGTTGTGAACTTAAATGTGCAGGTATGAATTGTGCGCTTAAACGAAATATTTAAGAGGAAATCTGAGAAAAATAACCAAAGAAGTGTATTTTGGGCAGCTAAATCCAAAGTGCGGCTATGTACAAGACAGCTAAATCAAAAGTACTGTATTGATCTGGACCACCTGAAGACATTATTACCATAATCTCGTATAAAAATTTTTCAAATAATATCAACCGTTAGTAAGTGTGCACATCATGTTGAATCAACATGAAACAATAATGAAGCAAACTCGATAGGAAAAATGTTCAATCAACCTGATTTTAATTGATTTTACAATGAATTTTTTCTGTGTGTGGGAGATCCGCGACATCATTCAATTTCGGCCATAAAAAATAACTTACAAACTACTCTCAGACCTATAAGAATCCAACAATCCCCACTGGGGTCTGCAATAAATTATCCGGATTAGCGAAATTTTACTGTATATGGTTCCCCTATGTTTGCGTAGGTGTGCCGTCAAAGTGGAACAATTTCCGCAGTTTGTGGGGGAGGTTCCAATGATGATGGACCTATATGGACCAATATTATATATAGTCTGCCGCGTTTAGACTCCCTTTTATATAAGGAACATGGTTTTATCAAAGATTTGAACATCTGTGAGAAGGTACAAGATAAATATGCCAGTGCAAGATAAATATGTCAGTCAAATCAGTAACCACATTCACTTCAAATGAAATTGACAAGATTTTATAATCTTGACCATTTGATGTAGTACGTAGTGGACGGAACATGAAGGACATCCTTCAAAGTCAGCACAACAGCCAAATAGAAGTTGGCATTGTTGGTAGTAGAAAAGAAAATCATTTTTGTTTAACTCTATTAAGGGGACCACACCCTCCCATTCTCGGTGTCATTTTTTTTTTAATTTAATTCGAATCTACACTAATCCAAGAATGTCCCTACAAGGAAAATCTCAAGAACTCTTGAAGATATAGCCGATTTATTGTGTCAGCATCAAGTGACGACTGCAGGGTTTTTCTCTAAACATTGGTTTTGCGAATGTCGGACACGATAACTCAACAACTAATAATCCGATCGATTCAAAATTTTTACACGTTTGTCTGTGAGAGAGTTCATACGATAGCTATATCGTATGAACTAGGATAAAGCCAATCGGTGAAGATCTTCCTTATTTTTTAACTTTATTTTTGGTCAGAAGCCGGGGATTTTCCAAATTTTTTTCAAAGGTCCGCCATTTTGTTAATTTTAGAGCGAAGTCAATAATTAATAATAGTTCATACGAAAGCCAGACATGTACTAACTCCGTTGGAATTTTCAGATTCCGGTGTTCCAGTGAGGAGTTATCATGCCGGCCATCAAAAATAAGGACTTTTCTTTAGTTACAAAAAACAACAACAAAACAATAACAAACATTTGTTTGTAAATTATTTACCTGCCCATTAAAAATCTTGAAAAATGAAAATCGAGAATTACCAAAATTCAAAATTTTTTTAATGTTATGAGATTAGGATTCTCTAACTGCACTCGTCTACTTTGAACAGATTTGGTTGATGGGAAGTTCTGTTTTTTTTCTTCCGGATTTTTTATCTTCATGATTTCTAAATTAAAAAAATTTCTAATAGAATTTCTAAATTAAAAAAAACATATTTATTTCAAAATCCCTAAAATATGCTACAATATTTTGAAATGTTATCAATTTATAGAATTTGCAAATCCACACATTCCAACAATAAACAACGTTATTATATGCGAATGTGTGTATGACCGACAGACCTTCGCCGAATATACATTCATACAACATCTTTATCATTTCGTGAATCATCGTAAACTTTATTCCTCTGGGTTCACAACATTATATTTTTTTCTATTTTTAACATTTCCTCGCGACACTGTGTGTTTGTTTAGCTTTTATTGCAGTATTTCATGAACTTAGTTTTTGGCACAACGTTAGTGTTGTACTTCTAAAAACCAAAGGTTGTGTGTTCAAATCCCGTTTGAGTAAAAACCAGTATTTTATAATTAGTTTTGAAATTCTCATTTTATTGTATTTTTTAATGTCAATGACCGTAAATTGTTTCAAAAACATTGCAATGAGCAATTTTTTTGGCAACTGGAGATGCCGGGGTTTGAACCCGGGACTTCTCACATGCGAAGCGAGCGCTCTACCACTGAGCTACATCCCCCGATGAGCCGGCGCGTACTACAAAGAGTATTTTTTGCAATGATAGAGTTGAACAATAACTTCAAACTGATTTATATACATACACAAGACATTTTAAGAGTTTTGTTATGGATATTTTTTGTTGGAAATGTAATAAAAGTTAATAATTTGAGTTGTCTTCTTTGTAGTTGTTTTATTGCAACCTTGGAAGGATATTTATAAAAATAATGAATTAAAGGTTTCACAGAGAGTATCCGTACCCTTAGCCTTATCGTCGTTAGGACATATATGACATTAAGCGTGCCTCATCGAAATATTGGTTTTATACCCCAAATTTGTATGGACCTAATCCGTTTCAGACAATTTGCATCGATTTACAAATATTCGTTTGATTTCTACCAAAATTTGCTCATCGTAATATTTCATTCAAACTTAAATCATGTTGAAAGATTGAAAATTTTGTTAAACAATAATTTTGTAATGCAAACAGAGTATCCGATTTGAAAAAAGCTTTGTCCAACCTAATATTAAAACTAAGCCTGTATAATGTTTGAAGATGGGACTTGTTGGTCGACTCCTTCTAGTGGCACGCCCACACAAGTGGTCAAAATGTTAAAAATTAAAAAATTTTATATAAAGGGAAGGGGAATGGGAAGAGGGGGCACCTTTGAAATATTAAAATCGAACTTAAAGTATTGTATCCAAACGTTGCACATCGTAATCTTATTATCAAACCTTCAAAAATTACAAAGATTTGCCTCATGGATCGACTCCTTTGGGTACCACCACCACAACGTGTCAACAGTTTGAACTCCGTTGAACTTCGCATACCCAAAAATAATTGCGACTTGAATGATAAAAAAAAAGGTTTCAAAAATTTAAAGTTTTTGTTGTAAAAAATAAATGTAATTGTAGGGATGACATGGACACCAAACATGTTAATTTTTCTCCTAGTGTCCTCCTGCCCACTATAATCGCAATATTAATTAAATGAAGAAAATATTCACAAATTTCAAAAAAATGAACTTTTTAACCCGGAGCGGCATACAGCCAATTGGAGATGCCGGGGTTTGAACCCGGGACTTCTCACATGCGAAGCGAGCGCTCTACCACTGAGCTACATCCCCATTAATATGAAGGTAAATGACCATTATGTCACATTTTCGCAAGGAGTTAATGTACATGTACATTTTATCCTGATTTTATTGTCTCATATCAGATTTATACAAATAAATCTGTATCGACATTCAATAATTTTCAAATTATTATTTCCAAAAGATTCATACATTAGGACGCAACTAATCCCTTACGATCCCATGTTAAAACTATATAAGAAATACTGCAAAGGATTGAGATATTTTCTAAAGAACATCTAATTAAATTTTCTTTTTTGATGTATAAAAATAACTATGGTGTACTACAGAGAAAAGGACATCTATAGAAAGTCGAAAATTCCTGCTGCTTCAGAATCAATTAGATATTTTTAAAATCGCAGGTGAAGGATCTGATCTGTTTTATTTAATAACTTTTTTTGCAAATACAGCTTTTAACTAAAATCACATTTTTTTCAAAATGTAACTTGACAGACTGGAGATGCCGGGGGTTGAACCCGGGACTTCTCACATGCGAAGCGAGCGCTCTACCACTGAGCTACATCCCCCCTTAACCCTTTTGGTGTTACCAATCATTTAGTATAAAATATGTTATGTAATACACAAGGAGCACAATATCCGATACACACAATGCAAATTTTTTCAATAGTCCATGATCGGATTTTAGTCAGAACCTATATATTCTCCGAGTTCTTATCCAGAGGGTCTAGACTAGTCATCCAATTCGAAACCAAACATCCATTTAGACATAACTTAGAACTTCGTAAATGCTATTAATGCCATATGTACATATGTATAGCCCAATATTAAAGTTTCCTTATCTATAATTTAAAAGAAAAATGTTTACAATTAGATTAAAAAAAATAATAATAAATTACCTTCCTTATATCTCTTTTACAGTTTCTAACATTTGCCATTGCAATATTTTGCATACGAATTGGTGGTGCTCAACATGAAGATATACCCTATGAGAATGTGGAGAACATTTGTGAAAAATGTGTTTGCATCGATAAACCAGCCGATCCGAAAATCAATCAAGTGTCGCATCACTTGCTGAGCTGTACAGTTAAAGGATTTAAACACATATTGGCCAGGTGGCCGGAAGAGTTCAATGCTCACCAGAGAGGTACATGAAATACATTTTTATTTCAAATTTCAAAAATTTAATAATTTTAATGTGAATTTTAAAATCTTAGTTGAACTTCCAATAATATAGTAAAAAATGAATATGTTTTTTGTAAAGAGTAAGAAAAATTAAAGAGAATTCCATTTTGGTTTGTGCTTTCTTAAATTCTACGGAAAGTTCAAAAACCTAGAAGAATCTAAGATATGAACATTATTTTTAACAAAATTGTATAACCTCAGACTAAAAAACCTAATCCAAATATGGACTCCATCTACACCTTTTTCACGTGTTATTCACTACATAACATTTGCAATTCTAGAATTCCATTTGCCATTCATAACATATCAGTTGTAATTCGAAAATTGCATTTGTAATTCACAGAATACCTTCTGAATATGGAACGTGTGTCAAGTATATATATAAATTTGACGTCGAAAAACGTTCAGTTCGTTTGGCCAAACTTTTTAAACCATTTGGTAAATTCGAAAATATATGTTGATGGTGTACCAAAATATCCTACAAAATAGGCGAAATGTCTAATTTTAACTACTCCAGATGATAACCAAATTTTAAATAGGAACAATGTAAAAATGTGAATCTGAATCTTCCATAAATATTATATTATAGACCACATAATATTTAAGATAGATCTTCGGATTGCAACATGCAGACGACAGACTTCGTTACAAGCCGCGCTTTTGAATAATACTCATTAAAATTACAGCTCATAATAAAAATCGCGTAAGCAGTAAACATGTCAACAAGTTTTAATTTATATTTTTCGTAAAATTCGATCATTAAAATTCCTAAAACTGAAAAATGTTTCGCTTATGACAAGTTCAGATAACTGAAATTATTTTCAGTTAACCGAACTCCGCTTAAGTGAATACATCGGATAACTGAAACAAACATCCAGATATTTTTCCGTTTCAGTAAAGCGGAGTCCACTCTATTGCAATGCTTGTTGCCAATTTTTCTAATAAAAATGCTACATTTCTGTTTGCACCAAATTGTTTCTTGTTTTAATCAGCTGTGTCGATACAATCTTTTTACTGGATGTTGTTCGAACGAAAAATTTGTATTTACTCTCTGCAAATTATGACTAAGTAATGTTACTGGAAAAGTAAGCGAACGAACCTATTATATAAAACGAATGGTGAATCCTGCGTGGTTTAAACATAACAGATCTTAATATTTATACTATGCATAGATTTAGTGCAACTGTCGGATATACGACAATTGTGACAAATTGTCACAATTTTGAAAACGGAACCTTCCGAATTTTGGTATTCTGAAGATTTTCCAAATCAATTGATATTTTTAGTTTTATGATTTAAATTTTGTAACAAAATTCCCTCACAGCAATTATAAATGTTGGTCCACATTTAGGGGTACGCCATATTATGCCGCACTATTTCCGGCATATTAATTTTTTGTGAGACATTTTTCAACTGAATTTTACTATCAATTCGGTTGAAAAATGTCTCACAAATAATTAAAATGCCGGAAATAGTTCAATATTTTGGAAAGTATCAACACCGGTACGCCTTTGGACACGTTTCATATTAGTCTGTAGTACCACATAACGGAATTTTAATCTTTACGAGAAAAGCTCTCGGATCTATGTGTATAAAATAACAAATAAATTTTGCTAATACTTTGTTAATATTTAAAATTATTGAGAATATGCAGATTATTAATAATGGAAATGCAATTTGTATATGAAAATTTATACAATTTATCTTATTTTGTTTATAAAAATTAAATTCTATTTCAAGAAATCACTTATCAATTTATTTTCTCTTTATCTCTAGATAATGTCATTGTGGCCAGCTTTTCGGGCAACACAATAGAACTATTACAACAAATACCAACAACCAATGCAACACTTAGTTTTGCTTGTCGCCATTGTGGCATCAAATATCTACAGTCGCCAACATTTATGGATGTACCGAACATAATTTCACTGGATCTAGCGTATAATGCTATTACCACAGATGAACTAATACCGGATGTATTTCGTGGACCGTATCACGTTAGCAGTTATGAACCAATTGCATTGGCCGAATTGGATTTAAGTCACAACCACTTACAGTCTCTAGATCGTCTGCTATTCCAGCACACACCCAATTTAACCAAATTGAATTTGGCTCACAACAATTTGCAAATTTTGGATTACCCAACGACCGCGGCTTTGTCATCGGCAACACTCTTAAAGGTTTGTTCGTTTGACAAAAAATAAGGGAGAAACCAGTAATTATTATTTTATTCCTTTTTTGTTTACAGAATTTAGATTTATCCTATACGGGCATCAAAACAATACCATCGGTAATATTTGAAAAGCTGACTTCCCTCGAAACATTGAACTTGGCTGGTAATGCATTTGTGGCATTGCCGGATAATTTCCAGTTGATTGGAAAAACGCTGAAATCCCTCAATTTAGCAGGGAATAGATTTGTTGATTTTGAAGAAACACATTTTTTGGGTCTGAAGGTGTTGACGCATCTCAATATTAGTGGAATGGCCACATTGAAGAATGTTAAATATAATACCTTCACACGTTTGGAACATTTAACACAATTGGATTGTTCACATAACACCAGGCTGGAGAAATTCGATTTGGATAGTTTAATGCATTGTGTTAACCTCACATACGTAAGTATTGAATTTGTTGAATTGTCGTATGAATAGCAGAGGGAATTTTTATAGAAGGCCAGAAGGAATTGTTATAGAAGACCAGACGATTTTCTTATATAAAATCAAAAGTTATTCTTATAATCAAAAGAAGTTCTTATAAAAGACCGAAAATCTTCATAAAGAAGCCCAGAATGTCTTTTTAAGAAATATTAAGAGTATTCCTATAGAAGATTAGATGTTCTAAATTTGGAAGACCATAAAATATGGTCTTATCTTAAAGAACAAAATGTCTTCTTATTAAATATTAGAAGAGTTTCAAATAGAAGAACGATAAAGGATAACAAGATCCTCTTGTAGGAGATCATAAAATCCTCACACAAAATACCATGTTCTAAATTTGGAAGACCATAAAATATGGTCTTATCTTAAAGAACAAAATGTCTTCTTATAAAATATTAGAAGAGTTTCAAATAGAAGAACGATAAAGGATAACATGATCCTCTTGTAGGAGATCATAAAATCCTCACACAGAATACCAGAGCATCTTATAATAAATTAACAGCGGATGTTCTTATAAAGGGCTACAACTTGTCTATAAAGAATGCTTCTTGTAGAAGATCAGATGTCCATTAAAATAATATAAAATACCGAATATTCCGTGAACTTTAGATAATTTGATGTTAGAGATTAATAGAGAAAAACTACTACTATATCGTAGAAGATAGGTCATTATATATATATATATCCATATACTTATCATTAAAAATATTTCGTTTTCTTTTCTTACTTTTTCCAGCTGGATATATCACATTGTCATCTGTCGACGTTAACATTAAATATGGATTTATCTGGAATATTAAATAATACAAACATAACAGCACACAGTCCATGGCCTATGCTTAAGACATTCCAAATAGCTGGTAATCCATGGAATTGTGATTGTAATCTTCTACAAACTTTGGAATATGCTGGCTCTCATCATCGTTTGGAGGGTGATCAGAGTCGTTGTGATATGCCATTCATTTTGGCCGGTGTTAAACTATCAAATCTGACAGCGTCGGGAATTTGTTCCATGCGAATTCCGGCGAAATATCAAATTGTAGATGAAAATGCACCGCCACGTTTTCGCAGGAAGCGTTACATTATTCTGACAGTGATAACTGCATCGGTTGTCGTCGTTTTGGGCCTAATAATTGGTTTAATTGTTGTCTGTATACGAAGACGCTTGAAACGAGATGATTACGGTGTAGAACCCATACGCTATACCAGTGTAAGAAGCAGTAACCTATCCGCATTTTCACATGTCCAACCGAATGGTAATGGTGCCAATGGATCAGCTGGCACCAGAACGTCTGGTGTATGAAAGTATTTCTTTGTTATTCAAAAAAAAAAAAAAAAAAAGAAAAAAAAATATCCTAATTAGAATTTAAGTCTGACGATTTTCACAAACCCTGTAAAATTTAGAAATGTAAATTTTAGAAATGTAACGCTGTATGTGAATGGACATCTACTTCCTGTGTATGATTTTATATGAATTGTTGACCAAAGATTTTGTTGTTAAATAATGAATGTGTGCTTATTGGTATTAACTGTTAATAATATTGATTTGTCAACATACATACTTAAATATGTAGTGCTTAATTTATTTGTATATATACATACGTACATATAATATTTCCGTAGGTTAAGTCACAAACTTTTATATACGAAATTACGGTTTCGAAAAAACTACCACCTTGCCATAATGTAGTATTTAGAGTTTTTATATGTTTTATTTGAATTTTTATTCATTATTAATTTGTCCATTTCGTTTTCATAAATTGCATTATATTTACATTGTTAATTGAATATTTTCCTATCGAAAAACTGCCCTTAAGTTTGTAATATTTCTTCTTTTTTAATAAAATACATATTTTTTCTACTTTTTGAAATGTTTTGGTTTTCTGTGTTAGAAACTCTCAGGGTGGTCGTATATAAATGTATTATTGGAGAATATTTGTGGAGAATATTTTTTTAGTATAGTCCCCATCGAACACTCCCCTAGGAGACCTTTGATCAATAGAGAAGAATTATATTGAGTGAGGTGTGGAGACTTTCGATATAGGCCAATATAAAAGTATTGCCCTAGTTTAGGTATTTCAAATGCATTTTTGATTTTCAGAGGGCCCATGATGTAAAGATATTACATATTTTAAATTATGTTCTTAATTTAACTTGCCATTTCATATTGTAAGTCGGTAAAATGGACCGAAAATGCTTTGACCCAATTTTAGATATTTTGAAGTTTTCCAAACAGTTCCGTCCAAATGGTATATGATCCTGGCCTCTCGCTTTTTTCTCCATTTTTTCATAAGAAAATCTAATAGCAATAAAAAAAAACACTTGATTAAGACCAATACAGCTTTTATAAGATATTGTATATTTAAACATCAAAAATATTAACATAATAAAATCTTTTTTATAATATATATACTTTTAGGGGGTCACATCTTCTTAAGGCCAATTATAAAAGTTGTCTCATAAATTATAATAAAAAATAATAACATAAAACTTAGTTTTTTCTTTCATTTAACTGCTACTCATATAAATACACTTTTAAAGTAATGCAAAACGCAAAGCGAATGTTTAACACTCGCTTTCCAAAATGTCTTCTTCGCCCAAGGCATTAGATGGTGTGGGCGGAACATCTAACTTAAAGAGATTAATTGCCGGCTTTTGGGCCAAAAAGTTGCGCATTTCAGCAAAGTTGTCGCGTTCTTTTAGTTTCTTTGTGCGGCGTTCATATTCTAAATCGCCACTACCCTCACTGCCCTCATCAGAGACATCATCGTCGTCAACTTGTTTTTCCGTTGAATTACATTTTTCCTCAAAACTTTCGCAGTCCTCATTGTCGAATAGTTCGTCGACATTAATGCCCTTTGCGGCCAACACTTCACGCTCCTTTTGTAACATGACCTTGCGTATAGGATCTATGCGACCCTTTAGCTGCTTCAAAACGGGTTTAAAACGACCTTTTGTTATCCGTTTCTCAAAATTTAATATTTCCAAATCTTCTTTACGCTGCTCCAGCTGTTCTTTCTCTAATTGTTCTTGCTCCAGCTTGGCTTGTTTTTCGTCAAACATGTAGGCATAAAAGTCATCGGTCTTTTCGGCGTCATTGGGATTCTGTGAAATTTCCACACGCAAAAAGCTTTCAGGAAATTCATCATCCGTATCCTGCGATTTAGTATCACTCTTCTCACTGGGTTCCTTCAAATCTAATTTACTATTCAGGAATTTATTATAAACCAACATTAGACGCTGGAAGTCATCGAAGCACAATGACAATGCATTTTCAATGCTGCGCATATTGTTGGCAACCTCGACTAAGTGTTTGGCATTATCCTTTTTGACATTTTCTGTTTCTGTAAGTCTTTGCAGGGTTATGTCCAAAGCTTGGCATTCTGCAGCCACAGCCACCATACAAGCGCTCAGCTTTAGTGAAGAGTCCTGCAATATTCCGACCGGATCATTTCTTGTCCTTAGAGCTCGGCTGGCGTTGAGTTCCTCCAACTCTAGAGATTTTTTCTTATTCTGCTCAATGGCAAGATTTTTAAAGTGGTTCTCCTCTTCCATCACCAATTGTCTGATAAGGCATTCGATTTTTACTAATTCTTCATTTAGGCAACTCAAAGACGGCTTAGTGTAGACAGTTAATGCTAATCGGAGAAGGAACTGTGATTGGACATAGGCGAAGATGTTATGAAAATCCTAAAAATAAACACAAATGTTGAGAATCAGAAAATTTTTTCTGTAATGCTAAATTTGTAATTGTGCAGTATAGAGTTACGATATTAAGTGACTATAAACGATATGTCCTTATAAAGTTCAAAACTTTTCCCGTGACTTTTGGATACAGTCGTAGTAAACGATTTTGACAGATTTTACAAAATTAAATAATATATTCTGCTAGAAGAATTCTAATTCATTTCCTTTTTCATGAGATTTACAAATATTCAACATTTGATTTAAGTTTGTGTAGAGTTTGAATGAAATTGCTTACTCCTGCTATAGAGTACTCCATCCAGAATGAGAAACGGATGGACAATATTTCCATTAGGGACAATATTCCTATACCAATATTCTAAATCCAAATAATTATCACATCAGTTGAAAGGGATTCAAATTCCATTCAAAACAGTTTAAACTACGGTTATTTACAACAAAGTTGTATTTTGTCAGAAGATTTTGTTCGCATAGAAGAACATGTAATTTATAAAGATGAGAAATTTTACATCATGTCACATATAAATCAAAATCTTACCTAAGGTACACATGTACTTACTTTAATATGCTTTGGACTATAATCGGTAACGTTAGTTTTGAAATAATCACATTCTTTTAAGTCTTCCATTGGTGCATAATACTGTGAGAATCGAGCTGGTAAGGGATATTGTGATTCCAATTTCCGGGTGGCTTCAAATAAAATTTCAGTCACTTCCTTGGCTGCGGTAATACAATCCCAAGCTCTTTCGATTTGACGTGATCTACATTGAGAATATAAATTTGAATATTATTCTGACGCATAGTGGCTTTGAAATAATTTGCCAACATACTCTATTAGTTCCTGTTGCTTCATTATGATTATCTCATTAAAATAGGTCATATTGCGTCGTATACAATTCCCGAAGTCATCAATTGTGCGTATGAGATTCTCAAATTCACGTTCCACGATTTTATTACGAAACCCGAAAACTTTTTTCACCGCGTAAAGGGCACTGAAACTGCCGGCAACAATTGCTGACGGCACGAGCAGAAGACGCAGTGCACGTGGTGTAATAAAATGTTCCAAAACGGTGGAACCCAATAACAGGCAAGTATTGCGCGCCGTAAATATTTCTGGCCATTGTGTATTTATTCCCAGATGGTTGCCTGTTGGCCCATTGGAGTCTGTTGCATCCGTACCAGCGGCAGGGTCGTTGCTCGACTCCAATGACCTTTCTTGCATATAGGCCATACATTGTTCCAGTGCTTCCACATGATCGACCAGCAATCTTTTAGAATACAGGATTTTGTTAATTAAGCTGTCGGTGGCTGCCTGTAAAACAGAATGCAAGGTTATCAAAATCTCATAGAGTATTTATACTCCTTATAGGTTCTTACCTGTTTTTGTTTTAGCTCATCCGACAACTGGCGACATAGCTCCACCTACAAAATATAAAAACAATGGCAGGTAATGCACCGCCGACAGGTGTTATGTAAATGCAGATGTCTTACTCACCTTCATAATTATTTTGCGTGTTTGTTTATGTGCGTTTCAGATTGTGTTTTAACGTTTTTAATTTATTTTTAGATCCGTTTTATTTACAATAGTATAGTCAAGTTCCAATGCCCACAATGACCAATTCATTAGAGGTTAGTCGAAGCGAACCGACCTAATTTAAAAGCGCGTACATGCAATGAATCGAACCGAAGAAATGAGAGAACGTGTGATAACAAATGAAGTTGAAGCATAATGACCGATGTTAGTATTTGTTTACGAAGGGTGGCTGATGCACAACGCCGAAAGGGGCGATTGTTTAGAAAGAGACATGGAGGAATGGGAAATATGTTCAAAAGGGAACTGAACATGAACTAGTTCAATCGAACGATTTCATGTAAATTGCTAGGTTCGTACCGTTTGGGTCAACGTAATTTTTATAAAAATGTTTCACAATAAAGACAATTTTTACAGGATGGGTAATTTTTGTCTTCCTGATCGATCTTAGTCTTGATTTAGATTAGGCGAGTTTACTTGCGGCAAGTCTTTGTTTGTTGGAGAGAGGGGCAAGGGGTATAGAAATGAAAAATAAATTGCTCGTACCGACAATTTTCTGGCAATTCGTTTTGTGTATTTCGTATTTGTTGACATTTTATATATATTTAAATGTGAAAAAACAACAATTAAAAAAATATTTTGGAAACCGAATTGCCTTGTATAGACGCATGGAGCAAGTTCAAAAGAGAACGATAAAAATTGCCGCAAGTAAACTCGCCTAATATAAATCAGGACTTATAAGAAGACCATGATATAGTCGCCTTATAGTACATTTACATTGTGTTGAATTTCGTTATGGTCTGTTCCCGTACTGCAAGAATCTATTATATTTTACTATTTTCTTCGATATCATTAAGGAAAATTCGTTATCGTAGTAGATTCTTGCAGTACGGGAACAGACCGATATTCTTTCATGTACAAACAAAATTATAAGCACATGGTATAATTGGTGTGTCTGGTTACTTTTCCAGTAACATTTACATTTGGTAACAATTGTTACCAAATATCGTGTAAACATACACAACGCAAGTGTTGTTGTAAAACAAACGATACCACAACCACATGGGAATTTGTTGTAAGTTATACTAGTGTCAACGTCATTTGGCAGAAAAATTTAAACAAACAAATTTTATTTATTTTGAAAATGTAATATTTTCGAATCCTCAAAATAAAATTTAAACACATAAATAAAAATCTATCAAATTTATATTTCTATCGCTTCCACATTTTTCCTATAATTGAGCCATTGCCACTTATATGTGTAACATATATGAAAATGCTGGAATTGCGAGTTATTCCATGAAGAAAAATTTTCTTCCTCAAACTTCCCCAGCAGGCATATTGAGTAAATTGAATACGGGAGGACATTTAATAAAGAAAAATTTCGAATTGTATGCGTTCTCAAACGTAATTTGTCATATTCATATTGACACTAGTATTATGGTGGAATCAAATTAGCTGGGTTTTGCTGTTACCTTTTATAATTGTACCATGTTATAACCACTTAAAATATAATTAGAATATTTTTGGAAATCAAACCCAAATCTTTAAATATCTCAATATAAGAAAAAATTTGCTTAATAGTACGTTTACATTGTACTGGAATCCAAAAAATTAGTGGGTTTAATCTGTCAATTCTATTGCATATATGCCAAATAAATCCTCATAAAGTAGGTTAACCCAGTAAAGAGTTCAAATGTACATGCCGTTTTATGTCATTTATAGACAGTTAAATATGAAGTTTTGATGATTTTTTTTATTTGTTCTTTATTTTGTATTGAAAAGCCATTCGGCCAAAATCTAATACAATATGATCCAATGGCAAATTATATGCAAATAAATTAAATTTAATTGAACTAATTAAACGTATGAAAAAATATAGATAAACATATTATAAAATTATTTACATTTTACATACTCCTCAGGAGAGAACAACTCAGAAAATGCCTACTTTAAGAGGCTGTTAAAATCTAGTTTAAACATAATATGAATATGTACTTTTTATGAACTTCTTCGGAGAGAACTACTCAAAAAACACCAAATGTAAGAGACTGTAGAAGTCTAAAATAAAAATCAATTGTAACATATGCCGGTTTTATTAAATTTATGATTACCGTAGCGACTACTCAAACGAGATTTAATTAAATTGGGCTATCGCTAAACATTTGACGACCGAAATTCAGAAAGCAGCTTAAACCGAAACAACCCAGGCGTTATATTAAAAAATTTAAGTTGAATAGGGAGTGTATGAATAAACGAGAAACTCGGACAAGGAATGACTTGTCCATGTGAAGATCTAAACGGGGTATAATTAATGTCATATTCCTAGAAAAGCGCGAAAAATTAAATGTACTTTGCAAAAATAGAGGACATTGCGATTTATATACTTTATAACATAATAATAGTCATCGCTGTTCTACAAAGGGAGAAATATGAGATCCCAACAGAATATACATATCTAACTGCACCATTGAATGCTCTTTGCACCTTCCTCATATTATGCATGTTAGCTGCGGAGTAAACTTCCAAACAATACAGAATGGTTGGTAGTACAAGCGCATGAACCATTTTTCCCTTTATATGCTGAGGAAGGACTAGGTCGCAGCTATAAAGCTTCGCAATGCAATATTAGTCCGAAAAAACACTCTATCGATATGCGATGTAAATGACAGCTTATCATCAATAAGTACACCAAGAATTTCTAAAACGCCAACAATTTGTATTTCGACCCCTTCGTATTTAACATTCAAGTCATTAGAATGAGAGGAGAATAGCAGAGACTTATGTAGTTTTCGACATATTTATGTCCAACTTATTTTGAGTCATCCAACTACTCACTAAAGAAAGTGTATAATCAATTTTAGATTGCAAAACATCCATATTAGACACTTGACCCGTGAATAACAGCTGAACGTCATCCGCAAACAGATACGCTGAACAAAAGTCACCTATACTTGAAGTCAAATCGTTAATAAACATCGTAAATAGTAGCGGCCCAAGTACAGAACCTTGGGGTATTCCACTCTTAACATTCAATATATTAGAAGTTGATCCACTAACTCTAACACATTGCTTCCTATGCAACAAATAAGAAGAGACCAAATGACATGCTGAATCTTGGAAGTGGTATATATCACTAAGCTTATTCAATAACTTTAAATGATCCACTCTGTCAAACGCTTTCTCAAGGTCCATGGAAATTAAAAGTGAAAGATTACGTTCATTAAAATGTCTTCTAATGGAGTCCGTCAGTCCTAGAAGAACACTCGTTGTACTCCTTTTAGCACGAAAACCACATTGATAATCGCTTAACAGATTATTAGTTTCGATGTAACCCATCATCTGTTGTTTTAAAACATGCTCTACGACCTTGGCAAGAATAGGGAGGACAGAAATAGGCCTTAAATTTTCAATAGCAACACAGTTAGTTTTCTTCCTTATAGAAGTTATTATTGCAATTTTCCACTGCGATGGGAAGGTCGAAGTCATTATTATGGTATTTACAATATGAACGAAAATAGTTTCTAGATGAGGTAGGACCAGTTTGAGGAATTTCAAAGAAAAACCACCAATACCTGATGCGTTGGATTTTATATTACAAAAGGCTATGTTTAATTCGTCTAAATGAATAGTACGAAAGCCAAATCTCCCCTCATCCACTGACGAAAAATGTCGAGATGTAGGCTCAATCATCGGACTGATTATTAATGACATTTTGATTTAATTCGTCGACCCCTATATTTAAGCTTTTACATATATCTGGACCGTCATGATCTATTCTATTCCATAAGGTTTTTGAATTTAAATCCTTCGACAAGTATATCGCATGTGCTTGCCTCTTCTATTTCCTTTTAACCGTGTTGGCTTTATTCCTTGCTCTACAGTATATTTTCCACTTGTGGCTAGTTTTATCAGATAAATAATCTCTGAATGCCAAGTCCCTTAAGGAACTGTGGTACTTAATCACAGGCGCGTTAATCCATTCGGTATCATTTTGTTTAAACTTCCTTCTTTTTAGAGGACAGACCGAGTGAATATATTCCAGTCCAGCCATAAAAGTATTTAACTGATTGTCAACATCATACGAACGAAAAATATTTGAAAAATCAAACGAATGAATCTTCGAGAGTAATGCATCCTGAGAGATACTGTCGTAATCAACAAATTCATAGTAATCATTCACACGCGAATGCAATGAACGAATGGGCAGGCAAATTAGAACGTGTTTAGATATAGAAGGACATATATATTGATTCGAGAAAACAATATTTTCTGGGAAAGACAAAAGAAAAAATCTAAAAGAGAAGTCGATTGGTGGGTAACATAGTAGTGTGTCGGTAAAGAATTGTGATGAACTGATAAATTCAATCTATCACAAGCAGATCTTATGGAAGATGCGGTTGGAATATTAAACAAATTGTTATTAAAATCTCCCATAATCACTATATTAGAATATCGTAGCAAAAGTTCAGAAACTTCTTCTTCTTCGAAGGCTTCGAAGTCCCCATGCGGTAAATAAACCACACCAATATGTAAATGTTGATCATCAAATGAAATCTCAACAAACAAACATTCAACAACACCGTAATTGTTACCGCTGTAAACTACTTTATAGTTTAACGATCTGGACAAGTATAAGGCAACCCCTCCACCCCTCTGCAAAGGGCGATCATTCCTTATACAATTATAACCAGTCAAGTCAACACACTTTGTAGAAATATAAGGTTTGAGCCATTTTACTGAGTTTAAACTTACTTTGGCTATTAAAATGGCACATATTTAATGAACCAGACATATTATTAATTTGTGAGCGCAACTGCCCATTACTTTCACCTAAGTTGTTCATAATAGTGACAAATTACTTGAATTCGAAAATTAAATAAATATCAGCAATTAAAATGAAATAATAATGAAAATAACCTACAGAGTTAAAAGCTACACTTACTTTATACAATTTTATCCCGCAAACA